AATATTTTAAAGTTGAAATAATGTCAATTTCGAGGATATTACTTAAGATATACAATAAAAAGTATGCAAAGATAAGAATTATAGGACAAGTAGATAATGTAGACAGTTGCAAGTCACGTACAGTCCAATAAAAAAGTGCCCAAACTATGTATTAGAATATTAGCTTACGACTGAGAAAAACAGGTGGAACAATGTTATAAACCTTACTCCTCTGTAATTATCATTTTTTCTAAAAGTTCGTTGCTTCAAATATAGAACACAGTTTTTTATTACATGTCTTAAACTTTTGGCAGAGATCTTACGGCTCATACAATCTTAATAATTAAACGGTTTAAAAGAAAAATCCGAGTTTCTATTCCGCGGATTCAATCAGTAAACAATCACCCTATTTCCTTCACGAAAGATGCCTACATTTCATTTGTACTCAACACTATAACTATCAAAGTATAAAAAAGAGTCGGCAGTTCTAGTGTTAATGGTGATAAAAAATGATCGGAAAAAGGTAGTCGGTTAATGGGTTAACAAGGCATTCCAGTCATCGAGACGGTCTCTATCGATCATACGCTCGTTCGTTACTGATATCGAGGATGTTGATGGGCCATCATTACCGTTTGATGAATACTAGCCTCGGTGGTAACGATGCGATTCTTTTTTCGAAGGCGATAAAGCAATTAGAGTTCCTATCCCCGTGGTCGTGTACAGCGGACACGTACGTGGAATCGTTTAATGGCCGAGCGTGATAGAGTAGAGGTGTGCATAGATCAATCACGGCTCATTTCTTTTTCGCCGAGGACGGAGCAGGATCTCGGGGAGCAGGAAATCGTTAAGGTGAAGGGTCTCGGTCGTAACCGCGGCAATTACGCGAGTAATTAGGCAGCCCGTCGGCGAAAATGACGGGGTTTACTCGGAATGCCTCGTCGGAGCAAAACAAACTTACGGACGGCGTCAACGTTAACCTACATCGCGTATTCCGCGCGCGGAGACGTCACGCTTTCTTGATTCATATAACTGAGTATGTACATGGTTTGTCATTGCACCGGGTAACACTCGTTCGACAGTCCGATTGTACAGAAGCGAGATCGTTCGAGAATATGAAGAGAAACACCTCTCGTTCGCGTCATACTTGATCCAATTTCAGCGCGCATTCATTTCAGCTTCTGTTCAATTAACGCGAACGCTTCGAATCCTGGTAAAAGTCACGCTACTTTCACGCAACGGCCTCGAGTGGGAGGATTTCAACAAGGCGTCTAAGCGCGGATGCGCGGTTCATTAATCACTCTATTGTACCGACAGTAAATCCCTCATTAGTGGGGCGACATATATTGTTCTCCCTTTTTTATATGTATATTGAAAAAACAGACAGCAGCGAGGCCTCCGATAATTAAGGCCAGGAATTACGGTAAGATTCAACGGAACGGGCCGCCGAATGAAATAATTCTTGCACGCGACTTCCTTAACTGGATCGCGCGTCCTTAAAGTTGAATTATCGTCATCATTCACGGCGTCAGAAAAATCCGTATTTAACTCGAGTGTAAATACGTGAACCACCGCGGGGTTAATGCGATGCGCCGCGGCCTCTCCTCGATGTATTAATCATATTATCCGTGACTAATTACCACCCTCGCAGTCCCGCGACGCGTATAAATGTTGCCCGTGCCATTACGAACCGCAGGATTCAATGGATCCGCGCGTTAATGCTTGGGCCGAATATTAAAAGCGTATATTTATGCGCCTGGGTTTTAACCACGAGGTGAATGATGCGCAGGTGAGAGGTAATAATCGGACGGTTGACAGTGGAGGCGCCTTGACAAAACCGCGTCTTATAAATGGACCGGCTCGATGGCACCCGATGGGCGCGATTCATCAGACGAACTACGCGAACGTGTATATTTATGGAACCGCTCAACCGATAGATTGTTTCATTTATTCCAAACGGAAATGGCGTTCGCATCATAAATTAACACTCTATTTCTCAGCCGGTGCGCGTAACTCGAATTCCAGCGCGAAAAACAGGCACCGTTTCAAATTGCGGTCTCCACTTCATTTCGAATTAAAATTGTATGAGTCGTAAGATCTATCTAAGTCTCATAAGATATCTCATAAAAAGCTGTGTCTAATATTTGAAGCAATAGAAGAAATGGTATTACGTTCTGATTTGCAACCTGAATTGCATTGGAAACAAGTCTTACGATTCATACTCCCAGTTACTTTTTATTGTGTATTTTAAATAATGACTTCGAAGTTGATATCATTTCATATTTAAAATATTTTTAAAACTTGTTATTATTATCATTAATAAAAAATTACAAAATTCTTATATTTTTTCCTAAATGAAACAAGAATTTATAACAATTGAAGGTGTAATAATATT